CCCCAAAACCCCAAAACCCCAAAACCCCATTGTGGGAAAATAATAATGAAATCGATCAATTATAATTTATTTGTAATTAAGTTAAATCCGATAATAAAATGCATAATATTCATATTCAACGAAGACAAGAGCAGGTAAAATAGTCACAAAAAAAGCAATAGAAAATACAAGGTGTGCTTAAGTAAAAATGAGAACTTTTCTCAGCAAGAAGCAAGGATAGAACAAAGGCATGGATAGACCAACTAGACTAGGTTGGAGTTAAATCTTTTTGTGATGGAGCTTAAAAAGCAGCGTTTATTAATCCCATAACTGATCTATCTCCTAATAAAGTCATTGAAAAATCTATAATGCAAGCGAATAAAACCTATTTTGACAGAATATACCTAAGAAATTATGAACCTGAAATAATAAAGCGAATGAAAAATGGTGATGCCCCATTTTTAAATGATCATTTAGGGACATTGCCTTATCATTGCGATCCCTAAACCAATTTCAAGAATTTGCTTAAGTAAAGGACTATTACAGCAGAGAAGACTAAAGCTATGCATTATTCCAATAATATAAGTCATGAAAAAGAAGATAGAAAAATGATCGACCTAGGTAAAATAGATGCTAAAATGATATTCAACCCAGACTTTAGGTCACCTCATAGCTTCTATAAAACTGTGTATTCTACAAACAATAAATCTTAGGAACGAAGCTTTAACTTAAACCTTAACCAAAGCTTTAAAGGAAAGAATGATTCTCAGGCTTGGATTTAACATAATGAGTCATTAAGAAAAAAAGACCCATATATTGATGGTTTAGAAGTAATTGGAAAGCTTAAAAGAGACAGATCGAAAGATAAGGATGTAAGTCCGAGAGAATTTTATGTGAACACCTCAACTTTAAATACAACAATGGAGGCTTAGAAGCATAATTTAAAGTCACTCAGACAACTTGAAATATAAAAGTTAAATCAAACACTTCAAAAAAATATTTCTTCAGGTATCGCCCTTGAAAAATAGAGTAGCTTTTATTAGAGTGGCAGTATAAGAAACATGCTAAATTAAACATAATCAAATATTACAGGCAGTAAGAACAAAATAAACTATGATTCAGTGCAGAGTTTACAAAACTCATCGTTTGTTGAGAAGCCAAAGCCTGAAAACATGCTGATCTAAAAATATATTAACCCTTAAAATAACAAATTCAAATCAATCGCTGCTATTGATAATACCTTGAATGAGTCTTAATCAAAAATTTACTTTAAAAGCTTAGAGACTAGTTCTTACTTCCATAAAAATAAGGTACAATAGAAGCAAAAAATTGAAGAAGAATTGAGTCAGCTAAAGAGCAAGACTGCTCTTGAATTTAAATAGTTAATGCCCTATGCGGCTAATATATAAAAAGAGAGATCAAGTCTTTTGGCTAAAAGAAAGTCAGTAGGACCAGAGATGAATATTATCAGTGTTCAAAGTCATCATTCAATAAGCAATAGTTTTAATATTAATAATGTTCTGAAGGGGAATCATCAGATTAACTAAAGCAATGGAGGTATGAATCCTGTAGGACCAGTCTCAGATGAGTCTAGAATTAACTATTCTATGATATCGCTAAAAAATGATAATAAAATGAGATTTGCTACTCCAGGGCGTGGAATCCAAAGCGAAGATAATTTGGATTCTTAACCGCAGAAGATAAATTTAAGGCTAAGAACTGCTTTGACAAAGGAAAGATAAAAAAACTCTTAATTTAAAAGTTTTGCAAGATGATGCGATTAAACAAAAATTTTAAAGATAAGATCATCGATTTAATATATATTTATAATATTCTTTTTTGCTAATAAATTCTTCTTAAGGGGTTTTGGGGTTTTGGGGTTTTGGGGTTTTGGGG